AAATGGGATGGAATCAAATTAAAAAGTTTCTTCTCAGCAAAAGAAAAATCTGTGAGGTGAACAGAGAGTCTACTTCCTGGGAGAAAATTTTTACCCCTCACACATCAGAGAGAGCACTAATCTCTAGGGTATATAAAGAACTCAAAAAGCTAAACACAAAAAACAAATAACCCAATCAACAAATGGCCCAAGGACCTGAAAGACACTTCTCAGAAGAGGAGATAAAATCAATCAACAAATATATGAAAAAATGCTCATCATCTCTAGCAATCAGAGAAATGCAAATCAAAACTACTCTAAGATTTCATCTCACTCCAGTCAGAATGGCAACTATTATGAAGACAAACAACAACAAGTGTTGGCAAGAATGTGGGGAAAAAAAAGCACACTCATACATTGCTGGTGGGACTGCAAATTGTTGCAGCCAATTTGGAAAGCAGTATGGAGATTCCTTGGAAATATTGGAATGGAACCACCATTTGACCCAGCTATCCCTCTCCTTGGACTATACCCAAAGGACTTAACAACAGCATATTACAGGGACACAGCCACATCAATGTTTTTAGCAGCACAATTCACAATAGCTAAACTGTGGAGCCAAACTAGATATCCTTCAGTGGATGAATGGATAAAAAAAGTAGCATATATACAAAATGAAATTTTACTCAGCAGTTAAAAAAAAAAACCAAAATCATGACACTTGCAGTTAAGTGGATGGCGTTGGAGAAGATAATGCTAAGTGAAGTTAGCCAATCCCCCCCAAAACAAATGCCAAATGTTTTCTCTGATATAAAGAGGTTTCCTCATAGTGGGGTAGGGAGGGAGAACAAGGGAAGATTAGATTAATTCTAGATAGGGAAGAGGGGTGGGAGGGAAAGGGAGAGAGCAGGGGATTAGCAAGGATGGTGGAATGTGATGGACATCATTATACAAGGTACATGTATGAAGACTTGAATTGGGTATCAACATACTTTATATACAGAGATATGAAAAATTGCGGTATATGTGTGTATTAATAATTGTAATGCAAAAAAAGTACATGTATAAAGGCATTAAAAAAAGCCATCCTCAGCAAAAGCAAGGCACTAAGCAACTGAGTGACATCCTGTCTCTAAGTAAAATACAAATATAGGGCCGGGATATGATTCAGGGGTTGTGTGCCTCTGAATTCATTCCCCAGTACCCAAAATAAATAAATGAGTGAATAAATAAATAAATAATCCAACAAATCATATGACTTATTGTTGCAACATGCCTCTTTAATTATTTCTAAAATAATAAGTAAGCAAATAAATGGATTTGTTTCAGTTATCTGTTTGCTCTATAAAATATTAACCCCAAACTCAATATTGTAAAACAATAAGCATGTATTTGCCACATCATATAATTAAGGGTGGGCTTGGTTGAAATGGCGTATTTCTGTTCCCCTGGCATCTCTTAGGGTGAAATGCACTGGTGGCCTCTTTAGTTGCTCAGCACTTTAGCTTGGGTGAGTAAAACAGTTAAAACTTGGGAGGACATCTTTTTACTTCCTTGTTATCTTGGTCTTTCTACCTGGACTTTCTTGCAGCTTCAGGGTACAGAGAAGGAACATTCTACAAAGACCAACTTCAAAGGGATGGACTTATCAGAATACCATTTATATTATACTTATTTTTGTCCCTTTAGCTAAAGGTCAAGGTCATAGTCACATGTCAAGCTCAGAGTCAATGGAAGAGAGGAATATATAAGTGCATGACCAGTAGGGGACATACTTCATTGTAGAAGAGGGTGCACCAAAGTAAAATTATCCCTATAGCCCCAAATGGCTTATTTCCCTTCCACATACAAACTACACACTTCTGCTATCTTCCCAAAATGCAAAATCTCATCTAATTTTGACACCAGATATTATCTCAAAGAACAGGATCTTGTCATCCAAATCAGGTCTAGATATGAATAAGGATGCTTGGTTATTGGTTCTCTTAATTTCAAAAATTGTAAACTATAGATAAATTATATACCCTTTTGCACCTACAATACACTGGGGAATGAGAAATAGAAAAGTCACAAGAATATTTCCACTCCAAAAAGAAGCAGACAAATCTTAATGTGAAAATGCTTACCATATTCAACTTGTATCATATGTTCGATTGAGAAAGCTAAAGAACTCACAAAGGGGTGACTTCTAGGAGGCTTAGTTATTGGGGAGCTATCAAAGTATTTGCAATACATTTCTCAAATAATATTCCTTTGCTTAGTCTTGACTTCTTCCATTCTCAAGAATGCCATCAGGTATATTTTTTTTCATTATACTATAGAAATTTCGTTGAAGCCTTATTATTATTCATCATTATTAATGATATTATCTATCAGTTTGTCATTTAACATTTTCTCATAGTTAAAGGCATAAAATTTGAGATAAGTTCTTAATTATGCCCTTACAATTAGTGTATGTTTTAAATAATAACAACTAATAAGCATTGAGTGCTTGCCATGTGCTAAGCATACTGTAGTTGATTTCTATGCATCATATAGGAAAATAAAATTTATGGAGATGAGACAATTTCACAAAGTTGTCAATGTGGACCTGGGAAGCAAATATGGGTCTCTGTTTTCAGAATAGAAACCACTAACCGCTTAATACCATAGGTTTTACTTCTATTTCACTATTTAAAAAAAAAAACTTGAAAAAATGAATCTGCCATTCTTGTGAACAAAATCTACATCTAAGGTCCTCCATATTCAGCCACAGCTGATCTTTCCAAGGTCTTCCTCCCTTTAGTGAACACTCAAGACACTTCCTTGACTGTGTCTTATTGCCCACATTCATTTATCCATGAAATAGATTTTGTTCACATGGAATGAGGAAATTCTACTTACTTTCAACATTTCAACTCACCAGTTCTCTCATACTATTTCTCAACTACACCTACCTTATTCTCTTATAGCTAAGGTGAGCATATATTCTGGTTTTCTTGAAACAGTCCTTGTTTACTCCTCCTATTCCAATGTGATTATTAACAGCCCACTTTCTACTGTCAAAAAGGCCATGGCTAGGAGATGATAAATCAAATGGACACTCTACCAACCTCCTTCTTCTGAACCCTGAGAGCAGATAACTAATGTTTATATTATTAGAATATTTGTAAGATATATATTGTTTATGTTGTAAAGTCTTTGCATGTTTCATTACTTTCTGTGTCTCCTAGGTCTATGATATCAGTGCTAAAAATGTTTTTTTTTTCAGAATGAAAGAAAAGAATGTTCAGAATAATAAAACCATTTTCATATTACAAGGACTCTTAAACAATTGATATTTGAATCAATTAGCCAAAAACAAATCATTGAATGCCAAAAATTAATGTGAATTGATCTTTCAATAAATTGGACATTTATCAATTTGCTTTTAGGCAAATAGGCACCCTATGAATTGATTCTTGGTAAATTTACTAATCCTCTCTAATTAATGGTTGTAGAAAAGTCAACTCAATTGAAGCATTTGATTTTGGATGGTTTACTTTACAGGGAAAGTAGATAAAGCATCATATAATTGTTTTTTACAATTATTTTTGTCAAAGCAAATAATAATTACTTTTATTTTCTTCACTACTTGAGATTTCAATATTCTGGTCACCCTAATCAATTTTACCTTTAGGAAAGGAAAGAAAAAAAAATATGTTATCTTAACGGCGAGATCACTTTAAAGAGATTTAAGATAAGGGAAAGCCTGAAATGTAGGGAGCTTTATATTTTGCTCCTGGTTCCCTCTTCCATTCAAAGCATTTCTTTTCATGTGTTAATTCAATAGAAAAGGGCTGGGCATCCAGTCTGACTCTCTAGTATGTACTGCACACTGAGAATGTGATAAATGTATTTATTCATTTTAACCAAATTCTACCACAACAAAACAATTTAGAGGCCCCATGGAGTCTATCATAATGGGATTTTACCTGTACTTTGATTGAATTAAAGCATCCTATACAGAAATCAGCTATTTAAACATCATCTACAAAGACCTGAATCATAATGTTTTTCTCTGAAGTAGCACATTATTTACTGTAGTTTTGGACAGAGACTAATTAATCCACATTTTGGATGGTACCACTGCTGGCTTCTGACAATGTGCTCTGCATCCCACCACTCATAATTCTCTCCATAGAAAACCTGTATGAAATTTTCAAAGCAGGAATCCACATGAATTTCTTGGAAATAGCTCAGACTTTTCATTATGCCTCTGATGTTTATAGGGGGATTATTTTTTCATATTACTGACTATCATTTATTTAGAATCAGAAATTTGTTTACACAATTTTATTTTATCCATTTACCTTACTTCCCAAAATGTGTTTTAATAAAGATTGTAAATATAGCATGATTACTTTATAAAGTCATAACATCAACTGAAAGAAGATATAATGATAAGCAATAATCACCAGAAAGCCATCTCATTATGATTGTTTTAGCATTTGATAGAGGCTTTGCCTCAGGCAAAGCCAGGAGCCTCATTTATTTCAAAGAGATAAAAACAAGGAAATATGCACATTCTCCATTAAATATTATTATGCAATTGGGGTCTATGAGAGGTAGAAAGGAAATTTATATTCACATGGACATTCTTTCTAACCTTTTGAGACTTCCTAGTGACCACAGGGACACTGTTATCCCAGCTCTTCTGTAAGTCTAACAGCAGCTCAGTATGAAGAGCCAATGATTGCACAAATCTTTGTAATAACATCAGATTTCCATGTGACAAGACATTTGCTATTATATGTTATTTTTTTAATTGCAAAGCTGATGAGTTTAAGTCAACATATTTCTTTCCTGCTCCTTCTGCTTGTCAGCTGTAGCTGGATTGATAAAATGCAAATGAACAAATCATTAACGAGTACTGGTTATGAATCTCTCAGGCAGTTCAGGACCCTATCAAATCCTGCACCTATTACTTTGTGTGATTGATGTACTATTGTAAGTGATTGTTCCTGATCTTATTAAATCTTATTGATTTTTTTCCCAGTTTCTATTTTATGCAGGGCCAGGCTTGGACTATTATGAATGTTGCTGAACACTGTTAATCAAGCTTACACAGCTATTTTGATGGCAAACAATTAGAACTCTGCAGCTCTACCTTGCAATTAGCTTCAGGGATATGGACCTCAGCACCATAATAATGAAAGAGACCTCCTTCAAGCAAGGTAATGAGATTTACAATTATGACCCCAAATAACCTCTGAAAAATAACCAATCTGCAAATTTAGATGTGTTTGTCAATAATTTTCTACTTTTTATGAAAATGAATTTAAGAATTTTTCTCAACAATAATATTACCTAGTAAAAACATTCTTCCTATCTTTATATCACAGAACTTAAGCCGTTCTGATTATATAGATTTTTTTGTTATAAATGATTAACATTAATAGCTAAACTACAAATGCTTAAGCAGATTTTAAAAACTATTAAATAATTGCTCAAATATTTCCAAATAGGAATTTGAAGTTAGAACACAATATAATTATGTTCTAAATGAAAGATAGAACACAATATTATTTATTTCCTCATTTATTTATGAACAAAATTTATTAAGCAACTACTACATGAATGGTACTGTAGTAGTGTCTGAATCATATGAAGGAAAACTAGATATTATTTCCTGCTTTAGAACATACTTGTAAATACTATGAACATTAAATTAATATTATTGGTGTACTGATGTCAATATAATCCCATATAAATTTGCATGAGTGAATCTTATGGATAAATTATTTTCCAGACCTTTTCTCTATTTCTCAAGTACAAATTCTTGCTTCACTCCTTTCACCTAGAAAAACACATCATTTACTTCTTTATTTAGAATGTGGTGTCCAGTTAGATTTCTCTTATTTGACCATATCTTCTCCTTCTTGTCACTTACGAAAAGATACATGTCTTTACCTATTTTCTCAGCAATTATTTTATTTCCACCCCCTCCTTCCTTCTCAGTTGCCTCACTGAATTAATTTTCTCTCTCCTGTTTATACTTTCTGTCTTTCCACTGACTATTTCTTTTCTTTGTCACATAAGTGGAACTACCCACTACCTAGAGCTAAACAGCTAAAAAATAATTAACTCTTCTAACGTATATCTGATGTGAAAGTTACATAACTGTTTGGGTTTGGCTATGAGGTGTCTTCTCAAAGCCTCTGTGTTAGTGCAGGAACATTCAGAGTTGGAATGATTAGATTATAAGATCCATAACCTCACTGGTCCATCTTAATTTGAATCAACTGACTGGGTAATAACTAAATAGGAGTGTGGCTAGAAGGTGGTTTGCTGGGGACCTGTCCTGGAAGGGTTCATCTTCCCTGAGGGTCCTTCACCTTGATTTATCCTTTTTCCAGTCACCAGGAGAGCAGTGGTCCTCTTGCATATCCTTGTACCATGATGTTCCACCTCACCTTGTGCCTAGAGAAATGGAGTTGGCCAACTATGGACTGACTGTCTGAAACCATGAGCCAAAAAATAAACTTTTCCTTTTCCAAGTTGCTCTTATCAGGTATTTTTTTCACCATGAGGACAAGCTGATTAGCATAGTAACTCTACAATTTCTTGAAATTTTCTGCTAGAATTCTGCCAATATATTTCAATAACTACAGTTATCATAGTAAGATTATATAACATCTTAAAGAACAGCTCTGTTCATAAAGGCTAGAAATAAAAGGTTTAAGTTCTACAATGTTTAATTATAAGAAAAGCATGAAGACAGATTTTATCCATCTTGGAGTCATTATGTGTTGGATGTAAGGTGAGGCTGATGTAGGGTCAGGGAAATTGGCTGACTACACTAACTAGCACCTGGCCCATTATAGTTTGGCCTAGATGATTCCCAATCAGGAAAAAAAAAAAAACAAACAGACATTCTGATTTTAACTTCCTTAATTTTCTTAGTAGTATCTTGCAGTGAGAAATAGAAAGGACAAGGTATACATTTTAGAGTGAGAAAGCAGTAGATTTGGAGTCTTGTTTAAAACCACTTATGATATGTGCTACATTAAGTCAATTACCTAAATCCTTTAAGTTTCCTTGCCTAATATTTCAGTCCCATCAAGGGCAATCTATTGTCAATGATTAGAAATAATGTATATGGCACTGCACTTGATCATAAAATTGACTGCTTCATTGATGCCATCTTCCCAGGTAGTGTGTCTGTTACCAACCTGTCCACTGTCAGTGTCAATTATGCCAAGGGAGATATCCTGATTCAGATAGAAATGTTTGATTTCAATCTCTTTTTCATTTGAACTCACATGAGAAGAGTTTATGAGCACTTGGTAGTGAATCTTCTAGGCCATATGTATAAATTGGAATTCTCACCAATGCAAAACAAAGCTATGGCAAACTGAAAATCTTGGAAGCCTGTCACGACACAGCAGAGAAGGGTGCTCATGTGCTTTTAACAGTAGTGTGAGATAGTTAAGGCTGGGAATGATGAGGAGATACAGAGAGAAGAGACAGAAAACCATTTACTACACAAACAAACTCAAGTGAATAGTGTGCTGATTTCTGGTGTTCTCCAGTTCTCATGAAATCTGGTTGTTTTGACTGCATGAAAACTTATAAGCTTAATCTTTCTTTACATGTTTTGCCTTTTTTGAGCTATATGGAGTCTTTATCCAATATCTGAAAGTCATTTATTTATTCAACAAGAACTATAATGGCCTGTTCAAACTTCAGGGAGCAAAACTGAAGAAATCTGATTAAAAAAAAAAAACTTGCCTGTAGAGATTATCATTGAATTTCCTCTATCACAATGCCTCTTTATCAAAAGTTTGGAGTTCATTTTGATACTAGGTAAGTCAAACATTCCCAGGAATTCTTATTTATAGATATTCCCTGTTCTTTCCATGCTCTCTCCTCTTGGCCAGATCCTCACTGCATCATATCTACCTATTGTGAAAGATCTCCATACCTTTTGTATCATACCACTTCAGACTATCTACAAACTTCCAGAGAAGTCTGTATAAAGCCGGACTTTGATAATTTTGTTTCCCGTTTAAAAAAAATGGATAACTTCTTATTTATCCAAATCCAAACTCCCTAACCTTCAACTTCTAAATCAATGCTTCCGTACTATTAATGTTACATATCACTTAAAACTTGCACAGCTGTTTTGTGCTTTTACTCTATTTTCTTTCCTGGAATGTACTGCTTCTGTGTCTGAATTTTAAATTCTAGGAATTTCTCTAGTCTCCATAAATACTTTCTGAACTTGAATCCTGGCCTGCTTGCATTTTCATCTGTATAACATGGGGAAAGTTATAACCAACCTGTACCACGATTTTCTTATCTACATAAAATAGCGCCTACAGTATAAAATGAATTTTATGGTTATGATTGGCAGTCTCTAAGATGAACTCCAGTAATCCTCAGTTTCCTAGTATTCATGTTCTTCTATAATATCATCTGTTATTAGTCAGTGTTCCATTAATAAAATGTAATACCTGAGACTGCATACTTTATTATGTAGTCTGTATCTAGCTTAAAGTTGTGAAGATTCAGGGGAATGGTGCTGGCATTGGCTCAGTGGTGCCGAGGACTTCATGGAGGATAGCATCATAATGGTAGGAATGTGTGCAGGAGGAAGAGATCACATACAAGACAGAAAGTCAGAGCAAGGGGAAGAGCCAGGCTTACTATTTTATAGCAACTCCTCTATCAGGAACTAATTTGAGTCCTACAAAACCTACCAAATTAATCACTTTTAAGAGCAGCATCCCTCCAGTAACCTAAGTACCTCCTGCAAGGCCCTAGTTCTTAAAGGTCCCAGCACTTTCTAACATCACACTTTTGGGACCAAGTTTCCAACACAAGAACCTTTTGGAAAAAAAAAAAAAACAACTATATCCAAATCATAACATTGTCTTCTAGATAATAGGATGAGCCTTTAAACTTGCTCTTACATGTAGTATGGCAGAAGTGATGGGTGTCATTGTGAGATTAAGTTAAACACAACAGCTTCTTCCACTATGAGCATACTTTCTAGTTTTCCCTTGAATTATTCACCCTGCAAGGAGCCAGCCTGCCATGTTATGGGGCAGTTCAGAGGCGATGCCCTTATAAAATTAACTTGAACATTTTTGCAACAACCAAATGAGCTTGTAAATGTGTTCTTCAGCTCCACTTTAGCAACTGCAGTTGGAATAACTAGCGGATTGACAGCAACCTTTCGAGACATCTGGAATGAGTGGTCCCTGGGTGGACAGCTTCTAGAATGTTGATCATTGAACTTTGAGATAATGAATGCTTATTGTTTTATACTACTAATTTAGCCATAATTTTATATAACAATAAATATTAATAGACAGTCTAGATAATTCACGTAAAAAATCTAACAAGTACCAAATAATTTTAACTAACTGTATTGCTAATATTTATGGGCACCACACATCTTTCCTTTATCTGAATTTTTATAGGGTAAATATATATAGAAATCCTATGGTTATAGTTTGATATTCTACATTATTATTAAAGAAATCACATAAATAAATATTTATCTACCCACATATATTCATATGCATACTTGTTATAAATATGTGCATGTCCATATCTAAAACTATATAGTACATGAGGGAGGAAAGTATACACACATATGTCTTTGAGGTGAAGACCTTACATCTTTCCCAAGCACTGAATTAAATTTGTGCAAAATGTGAATTTATTGTATCATGAATAAACTGATGGGAGATAGAATGACACACTTTGATCCATTAGACTTGCTTTAAAAAAACTCCATAAGCGACAGACTGGTATTTCTGGAATCCATTTAGTGGTGACTATGAATTGGGTCAAAGGGAATTAAACAGATGGAATTATCTGGTTTCATTTGAATCAGCTGAGAAAACAGAAAGGGCTGATGTGGGTTTGGTTTCTATAGTCAGCAGCACAAAATCTTTAATTTAATATTTAATAAATACAGATAATTAAAAACAATTTATATTATCAAAAACTATTTCAAGCACTAGTAAATGGTACATCATGTACTAAGAATCTTGAGAGCTTATGTTGTTTTAGGAAGGATTTTGAATTGCTTTATATATACTTTAAATGATGTCGAATGGCTAGATTATTTGTTTATGTGCCTATTTTCATCACTTCCATTAGTTTAAATATTACATGGTTGCACAAATTAAAGTGATACAGACATTCAGTTAGAAACCTGGAGGCAATTTTCTGACCTAAAAAGCACATAGATTTGGTAGACTGACAGATCTGGGCTCAAACCCAGGTTCGGGCAGTTACTAAATATGTGCCTTTGAGCAAGTGATATACATTTTCTTAACTTTGATTTCTTATTGTCTAAAATGGAGACGATGACATTTACTTCATAAAATTGTTTGGGTGATTAAATCAGGTTTTAAAGTATCTGGTAAACAGAAATCACTAGCCCTTTTCCTCTACTACTTTCATGTGTGTGCATTTAAATGGATCACATTAAAAAGCAGAAATCAGTTAATTAGGAAATGCCTCAAAAGTATCTCAGTTCAAAAACAATGCCTGATGTCCAAATAATTTATTTGATCCAATGTGGCAGTACTTAGTGAGAAAACGCTACAAGGCTAACAATAAGAACAGCAGCCAAGCTGCCAAAAGGACTGTAAATATGTTCTTGGCTTATCATGTTTGTAAGACTCAGAACTGTCAAATTATTCAAAGAAATCTTATAAGAGAAGTTATTTTAACCATAGCTGGGAAAGGGGAAGTTTCTTCCTTAGTATTAAGTTTTCTTGGTTCCCAAGTAAAGACATATTATTTATTTTTTCTTCTTGTTTTTTAATTACCCTTCATTATCATTTGGAGACTAACTGAGCAATGTAAGTTGAATGATACTTAAACAGTTAAATTGGTAAAAAAGAAAAAAAAACTAAATAAACTATTTTTTTAAAATTTGTTTCAGTTTTGGCTAAATTTATACCAGCATTTTGAAATGGAGTGTTATGAAATAATCCAAATTGTTGATTCCAGACTAAAACATTTTTCCTGCCTTACTCTTTCTCTATTTGTTATTTCCTGAAAAAACTACAACACTAGTAAAACTCAAATATTCACCTATTCTGTTCCTATAATAAAGCTATTCACGATGTGCAGGAAAAAAAACCTTCAAATACTGAGCAGCATTATTCATGTCCTAAATCTCAAATAAACACAAAACAGAAACTGACAATCTTATGATCCTTACTGAGGATGTTAGCACTCTATTCATTAAAATGACTATTTCATACAAACTGGCCTACACAAAACCCTTCAAAAGGCTTTGTGACCTCTCAATGGCTCCCATACAACCTGTAACTACCTCCACCATACATACATGAGCATATGTACCCAGAGTCAGAGAGGAAAACTAACTCAGCTGATATTCTTGCTATGAGAACACTTCATATTCTTTTCATACCAAATCCCCTACCTACTTGCTAACACCTTCAGTGACAGCAGATGAAATACAACCAATCATCTCCAAGGTCAAATTCTTCCTCATAACTCGATCTCGGTTCCCTCTTACATTCTCAAGAATATTGCTTTTGCCATCCTAATTTATCTCTCACCTGTTTTAAGATTTAATCTCATATTCAATTTAGCACTTGTTTCCTATATGCTCCTAAAATTTTTAAGAAGGAAGACATCGCCCCTGACAGCTCTAAGTAAACATGGAATAAGTGTAGTACACATATTTCCACCTTGGAGCTGTTTTATTCAGCTTTTGGTCACTCTGACCAAAATCCTTGTCAAGAACAACTTAAGAGAAGAAAAGTTTACTTTGGGCTCCTTATTTCAGACATTAAGTCCATGGTTGACCAACACCAATTAATCTGGACCTGAGATGTGGCAGAACATCATGGTTGAAAAGGTATCACAAAGAAAATCAGCTCAGCTCATGGCAACCAGAATGTAGAGTGTGGGAGAGAAAGAGAGAAAAAAACACAGGACAAAATATAAGCCCCAAAGGAATGTGACCTACTTTCTTCAGCTATATTCTACCTGCCTACAGTTGCAATCATTAATCCTTTCAAAGTGGATTAATCCACTGATGAGGTTACACCTCTCATCATTTCACTCCTAAATCTCCTTGAATAAAAATTGCCTAACATTAACACTTTGGGGGATACCTCATAATCAACCCATAACAGTAGCTTTAGTCACCTATGTGGGTAAGAGGAGGTAACATAGCACATCCTATTGCATTTCTTTAATCAATCTGACATCTCTTCTTGGTTATGTGAGGAATGAGTCTTCAAAACTTGATTTCCCTATACTTACCAGAAATCTATATCCTCTCTCAGTCTTTCACATCTTATCCCAGGTCACCATCATCCACTGAATAGATCAAGACTCAATATAGTAGATATATTTCAACCTTCTTCATCCTTTATCTAGCCCATATTTCTATGAGCAATCCATCTGCATTTTTATTTTTATTATTTATTTGGGGTGTGTGTGTGTGTGTGTGTATGTGTGTGTGTGTTGGAGGGTACTATAGACCGAATTCAGGGACACTTTGCCACCAAGCTATAAACCCAGCCCATTTCATTTTGAGACAGGGTCTTAGTAAGTTGCTGTGGCTGGCATTAAACTTGTGATCATTCTGCCTCACCCTCCTGGCATTTCAGATATGTATCACCATAGTTAAATATGTATTTCAAACTCATCCATCTTTTTAAGATCTCCTTAAATTCCAGCTTAATACACAACTTTGTTTCTTACCAGATTGTTGAAATAGTTCCCAATTTATCAGCCGCATCCTTTCTTGTCTCCTAGAATCCAGTTACTACACATCCAACAGAGCAATATTCTCTATTTTTGAATCAAATATTTGTGTAATTGGTTATTTCTATCTCTTCCCACTGGAAAAAAGCTCCATTAGACAAGGGCTCTTCTCTGTTTGGCACAGACAGACAGATGCCTAAGAGGAAATGAGAGCTCCGTTCTCATTTCCTCTTAGGCATAAAGACTACATTTCTACTTCCGGGCAACTAAGTATGGCTTAGTTATAGCCAATGAGATGTGAAAAGAAATAAGTTATCTGGAATTTTTTCAGGCTTGGTCCTTAACACCTCCTAAGATCCTCCAGGATCTCTTTCTTTTCCCTCATAGCCAGCCTGTTCTTCCAATCCATTGACAGAATTTGAAAAGCTGCCAGCTGGCAGTAGCCATGATCCTCAGTCACCATATGGAGTTACAAATCCAAATGCCCAATTGGACTGCAATGTAAGTGAAAAAAATAGCCTTTATGGCATTTTCTCTAAGATTTTAGGGTTGTTGATTATGGCAATTAGCCTACTATATAATATCTGTTCTTTTTATTGCTATATCTACAGTACTTTTAACAATTGAGTATAAAGAAAATCAAGTGTATGAATGAATAAATGATCCAGGTTTAGTGATATAATTTATATTTGCAAATATGAGGCACTTTAAATGATTATCCATGCAAAATATATTCAACTGAGAAATCTTTCTAAAGTTGGAATTGTACAGTGTAAATTTGTGCACAAATTAGCAAATTGTGCATATTTAATATGAGTTTGGGCATTTATGACACTCATAAGCATAGAGCTATCACTTAATCAGTGTTAGTTATGAAACACCAACTTAAACTTGGAAATTTGGACATAAGCATGGAACTCTTGAATACTTGGAAGGTTTTCCAACAGCACTTTGAGAATTATTAGGGGAATATAAATAAAGATAAGATTTTAATATAGTTATTAAATTATTTGATAATCAATCATATATTCTTATGCTGAAAAACACTATGGGGCTATCTTCTGTGAAATCAAGGGGGAGCTACCTGAATTTCCTTTTTCTAGCTGAGATAAAGGTATTTGCTTATTAAAAAAAAAACTACAGAAATTTTTATAATTGTAAAATCTCACTGACACACCATGTCTTTCTTTAAATCTTATTCCAAAGGATAGTCAATTCCTTTATTTGAAAATCAATAGCTAAAAAGCCAAGTTTAGATACAGTATTTTAGAGTCAGAGAGAATCACAGAAGCTTATATCCTACTAACCTAATCACTGTAACTGGAGAATTTGCCAATTTCCAAAAGTCATAAGGTGAAGGTAATGCTCGATCTGAAATTACAACCCTGTTCTCTTTGTATTTACTCATCTTCTTACCTCCTACAACTGTCGTTTTGAATATTTGGCTTTCATATAAAAACTACTTTCGGCTTTTCCTATTAGATTCATTGATTATGCTAAAAAAATATTATTATGATGCTGGTAAATGCCTTATTTTCTTCAGTTAACTTATAAATTACAGAAAATAACAAACTTTGATGCTTTCTTCACTAGGTACAAAAGAATACACAGATGAAAATACACAAGATGAAATATACACACACAAACACACATGCTTATGAGTGTCATAAAATAAAAGAATACACAGATGAAAATAAGTACAAAGTCTAATATATAATATGTATATATATATATATAATTTAAAACTATCTTAAAGTTATGTTATATCTGATCTGATGTCACATACATATCAAATCCATCTCAACAATTTTATTTATATTTTTCTCCTCATTTCTACTATCATAGTTACAAATCTAATTAGAAATTTTATCCTCTTTTGCTTAGGCTATTGCCAGAATGCCTAATATTAATGTGATTGTTGGAGGCGAAGTTTCTTCATTGCTTAAGATGGACTCTGCCATTTACATCCCCCAAAGAATCCTCAGTGTTCTGGAAAATTGGTGTATTAATTTGTTTAGTCAGATAGCAAAACCTTATTGAACTCTTATCCCTGGGCTTTAACTGTTGATGTAAAGAACTTACTATCTAATCAGAAATACAGACTAATATAGCTTTATAAATGCTTGAAACTTAACTCACAGAAATATAAATTCACTGCTCAAAAATGAGGAAAAAAGCAAATTCTTCCTGAAACTATTGAAATTTCAAGTGGATCTCAGAGAACAAGGTGAGCTCTATTGCCTTAAAAAGTGCTGAAGGTCCGTCCCATCTGAACTAAAATTTGAAAGATAAAAAGTTCATAAACTTGTAGTCCTCAAAATCCTGAGAACTTTAGGACATTGGGGATGTAGTCTAATGGGAGCGGGAAGGTGATGTGGATGTTGCTACAGATCTGACATCATGTTTATGAACAAAAGGGTTATTACTTTCTGGATGGCTAAAATGGCACTTTCATTATTCTACATGGCTCTGTGCATTTTCTTCCCCAATCTACCTTTTAGTCCCCGAGAGTTGTAGGACACCTGAGGAGAGAACCGATGAGGAATATGTCTGATAAAAGAAGGGAGAGTCAGATGAAGGTCTGCTTTTGCCTTTCTGAGATAATTTGCGTTTTATTCTTTAGGCAATAGGAAATCAACACAAGTTTTCAATAATCCACTTGCTGGAAATGGAGCAGGTGAAATAGTGTAAAAGTAGAGAACAAAATGAGGGGAGAGTTTTATGGAGCTTGATGCATCATATAAAAAAATGGGAGTTCATAACCCACTTGAATCAAATGTATGAAAGATGATATGTCATGAGCTTTGTAATGTTTTGAGCAACCAATTTAAAAAAAAAAAGCAATAGAAAAAGCAGGATGAGAAGAAGAAAATTTTCAGAATAATTCCCAAGATCAGAGAACACATGTGACCTACAGGTTTGTCAACTGAATGGGTAAGAAGAATCTAAGAGCATATCAAATTATCTAGGATGATGTGCTCCTGAGTTAACACAGACAACATAATTAGAGAAGAGCAGCACAAGAAGTAAAAGCAAGTGATCGACTTGGACATCCAGTGAAAAAAGGAAGATATTGAGTTATATTTTTAGACAAGCATCTGTTAGTTTAATTTGAGAGACATTAGTTTATTTATTTTTTTAATTAGGTAGCATACAAAACCCACCAGGAAACTTATATTTTCATTTAAAAATTCTTTTTAAACATTATTTTGACTGCTAATGAGTACAAAAATATTAGAATCTTACTAACTATAAAATCTTAAATTTAAGTCAATGTCTAAATAAAACTGTAACTCAAATTAGCTTTATTATTGCTCTAAATTTTTAAAAATCATTTTTATCTTTGAATAATGATGTTGAATGTATTCCTCAAATTTTTGGGTATATTTTCAAATCATGTTCCTTCTCTTCTATTAAGATGATGAATTTATGCTATTTGAAATATGAGGACTCGAGGTTTAAAAAAAAAAAAACTTTGGTACTTGAAAACATTTCTAAGTCATAGCTTAAATACTGTTATGCTAAATGACCTTAGCAGCTGTGTTTAGCTCATTCTAACTCAAGTTTACTCTTCACAAATAAGCAAGAATAGATGTTTCTGTCTTTTCTAAAGTCAAGCTAGAGAAAAAGCTATTAGACCATCTGGTTATCATGCTTAGTTTAAAAATGTTCTCATGATAATTCCTTACATAAAAATTACTGGATGAAGCATCTGTTACTCTAAAAATGACTGAAAAGTCTATGGTCCATGAAACTTGTAAAACATCAGAGCCCATTTCAAACTTTCAAGATCTTTTTGATACCACTTCATAGGTTTTATCATTTTATGTTTGGGATGAATATAGACTAAGACCCACTTAAATCCCCAAATAAGAAATAAATAACCAATAGTAAAAGCAACAAGTAATTTCCAAGAATAACCAAAATTACCTTTTAGTTGTGTGTATTTATGAATTCCCTGTATTCATTACTTTGTACCCAATCTCCGCCATAGTAAGAAGGGATCCTGTAAACTACGCATGAAAAAACTTTAACTTCAAGCACAATATGATAGCCTCTGAGCCAGGATCTGTCCATAAAGTTTAGTTGATGGTTAATTCAGCTCTAATCTAGCCTGAATTTTCTTTAGTTGCTCAAAGTGCAGCCAATTAATATGAATAGAATTCCATGTTAGCAACTTGTAAGCAGGATGTATATATTCACACATACTTTAAATGCATTGTATTTGTTAGCTTTGTGTCACTATAATGAGTCATATGATACGCACTACTTATGAATTAAAGAGAGGTGCATTTTGACTCATGATTCTGGAGGATCAAGTCCAAGATTGAGAGGTCTCATCAATTAGTACCTCTGTTAAAGGCAGCCTATCAGGACAGGAGGGCGTGACAGCCAGTACTCACAAACTGAGTGAGGAAGCAGAAACAGGGAGGAGGGATCAGGATTCCATAGTACTGAGGCCGGTGGAGGGGTGAGGGGACAAAAGGATAGTGTAGATTAATGAATGATTCCAGTCAGATCTGGAGGAGTGGGGGTCTGGTTCAAAAGGAAACAAAATGTTAATACCTTCAGGACACCCCCTCCATCACCTGTTGCTGAGGTTACCTGCTTCCAGGAGATTGTTCCTCCCAACAGTGTCCCCTGGTCCATTCCCTTCCTACCTGTACCCCCCAATGGCTTCCTTTTGGCCCTTGGATCAGTCCATCTTTTGGTAACTCCACTTTTTGGTCAGGTAAGCAAGAAAAAAGGCATAGGGTGCTTGAAAACAAAAGAAATCTGAAATCTATAAAAGGGGCAGGACACCCTTTACTCCTTCAGGCACCAACTTCCAAATTTAATCCCCTCCCCTGCCTTTGTGGGACTTTCTCTCTCTCTCTCTCTCTCTCTCTCTCTCTCTCTCTCTCTCTCTCTCTCTCTCTCTCTCTCTCCCCCCAGTCCTTTAAATAAAACTTTTTGCACTTATCTCAGGTGCTCAATCTTCAACACTGGGGGAACTCTCTGATGCACTGATTCTCAGCCCAGGTATTAGTACTCTTCAGGGACATCGCCCTAGAGACCTAAGGACATTGCATTAAGCTTCACCTCCTAAAGGTCCATAGCACCTTCCTGCTGCCCAAGATGAAGCCCTTAATGTTGGGCCTTTGAAGGACTTAGACATCCAAACCATGCATGCTAGATTTACATATTTAAATACATGTGCTTATATATGAATATTATCTAAGTATACATTTACATTTACATTTGCAAATACAAATACATATTTTAGAATTACAGTAAAAAAGAATCCAATTAAGGATATGAAGAAATGGCATCTACAAGAAGTGTATATAGATGGAGAAGAAAAAAAGATATAAAATAGCTTAGAAGTTGTAAAAATAAATTATATTTGAATGAAATTGGACAATTTCTTAAGAAGCATAGAGTAGTCAGCTTTATTAATTAATAAAAATTATGAGCCAGAAGTGATGCTTCTAATCTCAGTGACAAGGGAGTCTAAGACAGAAGGATCTCAAGTTTTTGGCCAGCCTTACCAATTTAGCAAGATCTGTCTCAAAATGAAAAATGAAAAAGGCTAGGGATAGTGCTTAGTGGTAAAGCAACCTTGAATTCAATCCCCAGTAATACATACACACACCAAAACCAACCAACCAACCAATCACCAAAACAACTTATGAAAATTAAGGAAATACGCCAAAGCTGAGTATTTCCAAATAACTTGTATTACTTTTATCTGAGTAAAATTATACTCTTTTTTTTCTTGCAGCCAACATTGAGAATATTAGAAAATAAAAATAATAATATAAACTTGTCGCTATAATTCTACTAACTGGTAGTACTAACCATGTTCCTTTCTTTTCAGCTCTTGCATCTATAATTACAGAATTTTTCATCATTATTCTTGTGGTCTCTGAGGGGAGGCTGTAGTATGCTCCCCAGACATGCCCATTCCCCAGCTGTTGGGTGTGTGGGATCTGCTGGCCTTCAGTTGAGTGGTTCTTTTGTGAATCACAGTCAGGTGAAGACATTCCCATGGGATTGACTATTTTCCTGTTCCAACTGCATTATAGTTCAACATCGCCCTCTGCCCAACCCTCCTTCTTTTGTTACTAAAAACATATGCATTTCAAATGTAGTCCTCCAAAAAACTCCCTGCTAGCAAATTTCAGTCTCAGTCTGTTTCCCAGGAAACCCTATTTTATACAATCTTCAAATGACGTTTTAACGTTTTCCTCAAAATGAAAGTACTTACTCTCTGCATAACATTAAGAATTTTAAGCTCTGTGTAAAGTATTTTCAGGGACTTCATGGTCTTTTATTCTGTGCATAGACCATGTTTTACTTAACCATTCCCTACGGTGGAACATTCAGGCTAAGGAATTCAGAGTTTGACATACAGGACAGCTGTAGGAAACAAATCCTGGCATGCATTAAGGCTTAGGGTAAAATGAACAAGAGTAGCAAAGGAATGTATATTTATTTAGTGTGTCAATCACAGAGATTCTAAAGAACAAGATGTAAGCTAAGAAATAAAATTGACAAACTCTGAAAGCGAAGAGAAAATAACTAGATTTAGAATAATAAGAGTAAGCAAATTATTAAACAAAAAATTGGGGGAAAATCACTCTAGATGATACATTGGAGGAATTCAGTACAATGGAGATACCTTGGAGGCAAAGATGTAACCGGATCTCTAGTACACTCATGCAGATGTGAGACCTTCAATGCTTGGTTAAAGTGTTGTCTATTACATAGGAAAGGGAGGCTGTAGAAAAATAGTAAGCAAACAAACAAAAACAGGGTTTACTGATGGATTAGAATCAAAGAGGAACATAGAGGAGGAGGGTGAAAATAAGTATAACATATTTACCCTGGGGGAGTGGGATGAAGACTTATAATGCTAGTGTTGAAACTGGAAAAGGTAGGAGGTGATTAATTTACTATCTGACCAGATAATTTTCTGATAATTTGTGAGCTATTCAAATGATATAATGCACAAAAAAGGAGACTAAACATATTTTTCTGTGTAAGATGAAGAAAATATGAAGGATTTAATAGTATTAGAATATAAAACAAAGCAGTGTTACACCAACTAATACATATAGGTATATGAGTCACTGGATCAGTCTCAAAAAAGCAATTAACATTAATTAATATTACTAACAAGTCTCATCCATCAGAAAACTCAATGTGTGTATTTACATCTATCACTCCCATGTAGTATTTAAT